AAGAGGGAGACAGGGCAACGTGGATAGAGAAATAAAGCAAAGCTATGAGACTTGGCCCAACCAATATGGGTGTTTAAGCCATACCTTTAAAAAGAGGCCACTGCTTTCAAACCATGGGAAACAGAAACATGTTTTTAATGAAAGACAAAACTCAGCAAACACAAATTGGCAAAGGTCATAAGCACCAACTGCCGTTTTGCTATTCTTCCTGGGGATATTTTGCAGGGTGTCGGCTTAGTCTCCAATCACCTGTCTAATCTGTGTATCTCCAGCTCATCCTTGAACCTAAGGAAAAACTCGTTTCACTTTTCCATCAAAATGATTTTAACTTGACACTTGCCTCCATTGTTCTCAGCCTCCTAAATGGGGCATGGGGGGGAGACATAACGGAGGGCGGAAAGAGTTGTCTGACTGTGTTTCCAAGGCACCAGACAGTGAAGCCAATCTAAGAAAGAGGGGAAAGTCTTCCTGAGCGCTTCCTCTGGACCGCTTTCCTCAAAACTACAGCCCGACGCTCCTGCTGCAGCCAATAAAGCATCTCCACTATGTCCCTCTCCATTTTGTCTTGGTACGGGCGACCCTTGAAAGTCACTATATCATTGAAGGCATCGTTGATATGTTTCAGAATCAAGCGGAGTTCGAAGTTGTACTGGTCCAACTCGGACTGCAATTGGCTTCTTAGGTTTGACTCTTGCCTTCTGGTGGCAAATGCGCCAAGCTCCTTGCTGAACAAGCGGTTGGGGTCCGAAGCAGTCTGCTCAAACTCTTCTATTTCAGCCAGCAGGAGCTCCCTATCCTGGATAAACTGGGCAGCGACTTCCCAAGAATTCAGCATGTCTGGAAGCAGTAAGTAATACTGGTTGGAGCTGTACTTAATGGCCATATCTAGCCTTTCCCGTTCAGAGAAATGAAGGACAGTCCATAGTCTTTCCAACCTCCTCTGTAGGACATTGAACTCTTCAAACCGGTCACTAGTAGAACTTCCCAGGCCCTCCAACCGGGTGCTGCTGACATTCCACAATCCGGTGCGAAACAATTTCTGAGACTGAAGCTCTGCAGCTTTGAGCTGTTTCCTCTTCACTTTCTGCTTCTTCACTTCATCCTCGTTTAACACAGCCTGCATGTCTCTCTCCTTCCCTTCTTTACTGTCTTCTTCAGGGTTGTACAAATGAAATATGACCGGCAGATAGTCAGCGGTGTTGTTGCTGATGTATTTAAAGTAATCGTCGATGTTAAATGTGGCTTTCCACCATTTGAGCCAAGATGCGTATTCTTTTGAAGCCAGCTTCTTCTTGGTTAGATTTGGGGGTTGGGGTGCCTCAACCATTTCCTCTGGGACGAACGGCCCATCTGGGAGGATTTGACTCAGCTCTGTATTAATGATCTGCTCACTTTTTCTCTTTGTCAGCGTTGAGGAAGCAAAGCAGGAGTCGTGAGGCAGGTTTGTGGCAGGACATTCTATCAAGGATCCTTGGTCGAACTTCAGGTGGTCTTTAGGAATCGTATTCATCAGTTCCTTGTAGATCTCCTTGACTTCTTCTCCTGTAGAAAGGTTTGCGTCCAGTATCTTCATGGTAGCAGGAGTTATCTCTCCCAGGAGGTGGTTGTAGATCGGTAAAGACCTATCCATCGTCACATTTTCCAAATAGTGTCTTTCAGACACCTGGAGATCAGCTGTCTTCACCACCATCCTATCGTGGATTCTGACATTCACCGTCGCTGCCTGAGGATGCGAGGCTGGGGCGGCGATGATGGTGTTTCTTCGCTTCGTTTCAAAACGCTCTTCCTCGTGCAGGGACTTGAGCATTCTCTGCAAGTGCAGCTGGCGATTCTCGTTGGCTTTGCTCCATGTCAACGCTCTAATGAGGGGAGGGAGATCTAAATCGTCTTGCTCGCCTTTCCACTCAGTGTTCTCCAAGTGGGAGCCCCGGACCAGCCTCTGAAGGTCTTCGGCTAGGGCTGCTGGACCCTTCAGTTCGCCTACTTCGGGGGATTCGGGGCAGCGACAAAGCAGATCGGGGCTGATCCGGCGAGGGATCAAATGGATGCCAAGTTCATCAGCTAAAAGCTTCCCTACCCTCATATTGGGCAGAGACTGGCACTTGAGAAGGACAGAAGTGGCTGGGAGAATCTGAGGCCTAGACCAGCTGCGTGAACCCACATGAGGACAAGGTGGTGTGATGGCAACGCAGGCCATTTGCTGCAGGAAATTGGCTTTCCTGGCCGTGGGTAGATTCAACTTCTTTATTTTGCTCATGTCCAGCAAGGGTAACTCCTCCAGCTCTTTCAAATCCTGGGCTACTTTTTCTTTCTCCGTCAACATATGGGGCCGGATGTAACTGATGAAGTAAGAGATGGTGATGCCCAGGCGGTTGCCCAAGGAATGGGTGGTCATGGGGCCAAAAGGGCTGGAGGGTTTGGTTGGCGAATCGGTCGGGCGGTCCACCTGCCTCTTCATCTCCCACACCAGGCGCTGGCGCACGGCCACCACGTTGAGGAACTTGGAGCAATCCAGAGCCAGCTGGGCCGAGAAGCGGATGAGGTTGGCACAATCAGTGAAGATGTGCCGCAGCCGGCAGCACTCCATGAGGCCCAAATAGTGGCGGAAGAGATGCTGGCACACCAGGCCGAGGTAGGTCAAGAGATGCTGGTACAGCTCCCGGTTTGTGTCGGGGCTGAAGGCCGGGTCGTGCAGCAGGTGCTGGAGGTGCTTGTGGGCGTGCTTGACCTCGGTCAGGATGATATCCTGGAAGGTCCGCAGGTGCTGAGGGTGGGCGTTGGCCTCCTGAGGGCCCGGCTTCAAGCGGGCCTTCACCAGCTGCATCAGGGCCGAGAGCGAGATGGGCACCGGCAGCTCCTCCTCCTCTGGCGGGCCCAGAGAAGGGCCGGACAGGGAAGGCTTGAGTCGGGAAAAAGTGGTGGGGAAGAGCGAGAGCGGCGTCAGGATGCGCTTATACTGCTCGCGCAGCTGGTGCATCCACTTCCCCGTGTCCTCCAGCGGGTACAGCGACCGCCTGGGAGGCGACACTCTCGACGCCATGGCTGGCTTTCGGCGTCACCTTGACAACCGAGCGGTCCAGCGCCCAAAACCGTCCGTGCGGAACGTTAAAACCCTTGCGCCCAAGTTCCGCTCGCGATTTCCACTGCGCATGTCCGCCTCTTACAACCAAGCCGGTGAGCGCGGCAGGGCTTTCCGGTTAGCGCAAAGGTGTGTCACCTTCAAAGCGGTCCGGGTAGGCCATTTTTTTTCCTCGTTTTTATTCTCGAAGACAAGATGGACGGAGCTCCGGAAAGGGGCGGAGGCCTCCGCTGCACGGTGGGGGAACCTTCCCGGGTGGGAGAATCGACGGCTGTTGCCTTCTTCCTTCCCTGCCTGATGCTTTGCGCATGTCTGAAGAGGTTGAGAGTGGGGAGGGGGGCGTTTTGAAAAGCAGGAGCAAAGGAGGTGCAGCTACACCGGTTGAACTACTTGCTGGGTCACTCTTAGAAATGGCACCTTCTCCATGGGGGTGGAGGGGCGGTAACCTTAGATCTGGTTGTGGGAAGCAGTACAGGTCGTCTTCTACTTAGAACCGTTCGTTTAGTGGCTGTTCAAAGTTACACTGAAAAAAGGTGACTTATGGCCGTTTTTCACACTTAACGACCGTTGTAGCATCGCCATCTGATCAAAATCCAGACACTTGGTTACTGACTCGCATTTATGACGGTCGCGGGGTCGTGTGATCCCCTTTTGTGACCTTCTCACAAGCAAAGTCCATGGGGAAGCCAGATTCACTTCACAACCTCGTTTCTAATTTTAACAATGGCAAGGGATTCACTTGACTGTGGCAAGGGAGGTCGCAAAATAGGGCAAAACTTCACTTAACAAATATCTTGCTTGGCCACAGATGTTGTGTGTGTGTATGTGGTCAATTCTGGCCATAAGTCAAGGACTACCTGTATGTGGCAGGCAGAATTATGGCCCAGAATGGGCAAATGAGAAAAGGCCCCTGGAACTTCCGGTTTGTCGGCTTCGCGAGCGGCAGGGATTTGCGAAGCTGCGCGATCCCTGCCGCGCTAGCCGTTTTTGGGGCTCCGACCCAGCCGGGTACGGAGCTAGGCTGCCCTGCAGGGGCAGCTGAAGGTAGGGGGGATCCGGAGAAGGGTTTGGGGGTGTTGCAGACCCCCTCCCTGGCCGGCAGAACCCCCTTTTCCCAGGACGGTGCAGCGGCGGTCCGTAATGGCCGCCACAAAGAAGCTGGCAGCCGGGTAAGAATGCGCAGGAGGAAGTGGAGAAAGTGATTGAGAGGAGAAAGTTTTTCTTGGCTCCTAGGACTCTAAGACATATTTAATAAAATTCCTGAAAAGTATGACTTTCTGAATAATACCTGCCAGAAGAGGAAAAAAGCGGCTGCTGGAAGGTGCTGAAAGGATAGCTTTCCCTCTTTTCCTACGGAATAAATAACTGGATATTAAGAAACCTATTTTTTTAGGTGGAAATTGGTTTTAAGCGATGAGTGGGAAGAGAGAGGATTAAAAAGAAAATATTTGTATGCTAAGATTTGTTGGAGCAGATGCCTTAAGGATTTGAAGACTAGAATATATTGTAACAAGACTTTAAACAGATTTGGACTTTCTTTCTCTTTGATTGATATCACCCCAGAAGGAGAAAGTGAGAACTCTGCCTTGGTTTGGACTGATTGATAACTTTGGGACTGTTTTATCTTTTTTATTTTCTTTTGAATATTCTGGTTGTTGTAAGAAGAAAGAAGGAGAAAAGAAAAGAAAAGATTTATAATGGCTCTTTCTGTTGAGGAACTAAGAAATGGTGTGGAAGAAGCTTTCCTTTTCTTAGAAATGGCGCTTACTAATTATCAACAAAAATTACAACAGATGAAGACAGCAGAGGAACAAGAAAGAAAGGAAGGAGCCATTTTTAATGAATCTCAGAATTTGATCCAGAAAAAAGGAAGAGAGAAAGAAAAGAAAAGAAGAGAAAAGAAGAAAACTAAAGGATTTAAGGACTTAAGATCTAAAAAAACATTTAAGAAAGGGAAAAATAAAGTGCAAAACCAATATGATGATTGTAAACAAAGGGGAAAAGAAATACGACAGAGAAGGGAAGCCGGTAAGGCAGAGGCTAGAAGAAGGGGGGGTAGAAAGGTTTGTTGGGAAAAGAAAGAAAGGGAAAAGGTGGAGAAAAGCTACAACGTTTTGAAATTAAATGGAAAAAAGGAATTTTTTATGGATAATGGATAAAGTATAATTTAAAAAAAAAAAAAAAGATTTTGCAAGGTACATAAGATGAGATGGTAGTATTGCAATGGTTTAAGAGTTGATAAGAGATTAAAATGTTAAAATGTTTAAAAATGATTGGTTTTAAAACTTAATAATAGGAGAGGTTTAGAATATTGTTTTAATTAAAGAGTTTAATAAAATTATGGTATTGATGTTATTATAAAATTTTTATTATAGTATTTCTTTTTAATATTTGGATTTATTCTCTAATTATGCACTTAATTGTGTTGGATGTATTAGTTAGATAGAATGTACCAAGCAAAATCTGATTGGGTATTAGATATTATTTTAAAGATTAATTTGATTAACTTAGGGGGGAGATAGAAAGGCATCATACTCTGATTAATGATTTCAGGAGAAACTGATTTTCTTTTTTTTCATAAGGGATGAGACAAAGGGATGATAAAAAATGGACAAAAGATACAAATATAATGATTTAAACTAAGATGATTAATTAAGGTAGAATTAAGAAGTGTGAAATATGTGGAGAAGTTAATATAGAAGGCTTAGAATGGTAAATAAAATAAGTAATGATATGTAAGATGAGCATGAATATAATTGAAGTCCATGAAGAGAGAGACACCTGGGTCCAAGTTACTTTCCAAAAAGATATTTTTTTTATGTTTTGTGTGTTGTGTGTATATGTCTTTTTTGGGGGGAGAATTGGTAAAAACTTGTAGAAATATAGAATGAGAATAATGGTAACTAAGTCAGAAAGAAACAGATGAAATAATAATAATGATATTGAATAAGAGTAAAGAGAAGTAAAGAGAAATTGAATAAGAGGTTTTGGTATATTATATGGAAATGGTTTAAAACAGAATCATAATTTATCTGACTTGTTAAATTTACAAGGGAAAAAGGTTTAAACATGTAATGAATAATGATAATTTGTGTGTTTTAAAAATTAATAAAACTTGTTTTTTTAAAAAAAAAAGAAAAGGCCCCTGCTCTTCCAGATTTCCCAAAGAACTTCATTTTAGATCAAAATTTTGAAATTGGGTCAGTATTTTTCAACTTTGGCAGCTTCAAGCTGTGTGGGCTTCCAACTCCCAGAAGGGTTCCACTATATAGGTCAGGCGAGCCCATATTCGAAGTCTTTTTTATATTTTTCACTGACAGTTTTGTGTTACTTTCTCCTCTTATTGTAGCTGGAATTTGCTGTTGAGATGACTTGTCAAAAGTGTGTAGAGGCGGTTCAGAAAACACTGCAAAAGACACCGGGTGAGATCAGCTTCAGAATGACCAACGTTCTTGTCAACGTTTATTTTATTTTAACTCCCCTTTATGATATTTATAAATAACTCAAAGTGGTGAACATATCCAACACACCTTCCTTCTGTTTTCCCCACATCAACAACTCTGTTGAGGTGGGTTATGCTGAGGGAGAGTGGCTGGTCCAAAGGTACTTCAGCAAGTTTTGTGTCTTAAGGCAAGAATACCAAGCTGGTGGGATTAGAACTCCTAGTCGCCTGGTTTCTACACAATAGTTCACTTCCTCACCACTTCATTTTACCTATTGAAATTCCACAGATGTTGAAAATGTGTATCAGAAAAGCAACTCAGTTTTCCATCCAGCTATTTTCTGGCTGAGGAGGAAGAACTCCTGGAATACTCAGCCAATACAGAGCACCAATTTTTTGGGGGGTGGGAAACCCTAAATCCGTTCATTATTGGAAGCCTTGTTCCAGATGCAAAATTATTTTCATGAATTTGTAACTGTAAAAGTGTTGGTGTTGGCTCTGGGACTTTCTCCCCAGGGTGATGTAACCATCTCAGGCTTTTCTCAGATCAAGCTGCAGGATAATTACTGCATGTTAGAAGTTGTCTTTTGGCTGGAAATTACCCCAAAATGTGAAAAATTGCAGTCCACATGACTCCAGACTGATGCAAACGGCCATAAATACAAGCCAGTTGCCAATCACCCAGACTACAATCATATGATTGCAGAGTGGGGTGCGGCTGTCAGAACTTCCAAAATGGGTCTAGCAAGTAGTTTTGGGGAGATACATGGAAACTTGGAATGGATACTAAGGGACCGGTTATTAAGTGAGGACTACTGTACAAAGAGACCAGGAAACAAGAATTTTAGTGTCCTGACATTACATGTTGTACGCTTACCACCTTGAATTACTTATGAAGTAATAGAGGCAAGATAAAAATCTCATGGTTATTTAAATTTATCCAGAAAGCCAGTTTGATCTAATAGTTAAGGCACCACGTTAGAAAACAAGAGATTGTGAGTTATAGTCCTGCCTTAGGCATGAAAGCCATCTCTCTCAGCCCAACCTACATCACCGAAGTTATTGCTGTGGGGAAAAATGGGAGGAAGATGTGTTGGATATGTTCACCATATAGAGTTATTTGTAAAAATAATAAAGGTGGGGTATATAACATTCCTTAGTCTTGGCAACATCCCAGTCTTGGCAATGTGAAGACTTATGGACTTCAGCTCCCAGAATTCCCCAGCTGGCTTCTATGCAGCCAGCTGGGGAATTCTGGGAGTTGAAGTCCACACATTTTCACGTTGCCAAGATTGGGAAGCCCTGCCCTATATGTTTCTCTCTCCATTTCCTTACAGGCCTCCGCATAGTTGACATCAAGCTGGATTCGCAGACTGTGCTGGTGGAGACAAGTCTTGGAACTGAGGAAGTCCAGAACCTTTTAGAAACGACGGGGCGTAAGGCTGTGCTGAAAGGAATGGGAAGTAATGTTCCAGGTAAATCCCAACACGATCGTCAACACTTCCTTTGGAATCTTCTATTCCAGATTTATTCCTGGAATAAATCAGCAAACTTTTAAATAGCTCTATGATGTACAAGCTTTCTTTCCCTCAAGCCATTGGTGTGAAGTGGACGGAAATCCTTGGAAAAATTTTGATGGGTTTAAAGCATTGTGCCTAAAACTGATGGGATCAGCCATAAACCCTTCAGAGCAGATCTGCTACATTATCTGGATCAGTGTTTGTCAAAATTAGTACCTTGAAGATATGTGGGCTTGAACTCCCAGAATTCTTCAGCCGGCAAGGAACTGGCCAAACAAGCTAATCACAGAACCTCCAAGATCATTCCCACCGACACTGACAGAGGACAAACTACTAGAATATAAATTGAGAACAAACCCTACTAGCACTGATGATGTTACCTAGTGGGGTAATGAAACATTGCAAGAAAACATCCAAGCTCAGAGAGCACCAAGGACCCTACAGTCATCGTCCTCCCCCTTCTCCTCCCCATCCCCATCCCTTTTTCCTCCACTCCACTTCCTTCCAGCACTGATGACATTGCCTAGTTTGGTAATGAAACGTCTGCAAGGAAACCACCAAGCTCAGAGAGCACCAAGGACCACTCAGATTATTTTCTACTACAAACGTCTCTCTTTCGACCTCCCTTTTTCCCCCCCCCCCAAGGATTGCTCGGCACTGCTGCCGTGGCCATGGTGTCGGGCCGTGGACTGATCCAAGGGGTCGTGAGGTTCCTGCAAGTCTCGCCCGAAAAGTGCCTTGTGGATGGCACGATCGACGGCCTTCCACCAGGGCTGCACGGGCTTCATGTCCATGAATTTGGAGACCTCAGCCGGACTTTTGACAGGTGAGAGGCTCTAGAACAGGGGTGTCCAACCTTGGCAACTTTAAGACTTGTGGACTTCAACTCCCAGAATTCTGGGAGTTGAAGTCCACAACTCTTAAAGTTGCCAAGGTTGGACACCCCTGCTCTAGAAGGTGGTTCTTTTTTCTTTCCCAGGAGGTTTCAGGGGTTGTAAAAGTTGGAGAGAACTTTTTTTTTTCTGACTGCCAAATCTCCCACTCTGATTTTATCCTAAACAGTTGTGGAGACCACTTCAACCCCAAAGGGGAATGCCATGGAGGCCCCCAGGATCTGCACAGGGTGAGTTAGGCCACCAATCGCCTTTTATTCTTCTTGGCTTATGTCTCTGTGACCTTGTATGGACTTCCAGGTTGGTGGCATGCCCCAAGTTGTGAGTGCTCCAACACTGGAGGATTTTAAGAAGAGATTGGGCAGCCGTTTGTCTGCGGTGGTACAAGGTTTTTCTGCTTGAGCAGGAGGGGTTGGACTAGAAGACCTCCAAGGTCCCTTCCAACTCTTGTTATTCTGCTATGCTGTTAATTGTAACTGTAAGTTAAGGATTGAATCGTTTTTCAGCATGCAGGTGATCTTGGGAACATCTTGGCCACTGCTGATGGAAGAGCATCCTTTCGGATGGAAGATCACCAGCTGAAGGTAAGTCGCTCCGGGAGCAAAGAAGCCGTCCAGCAAATGGGTTGATGAAAGAACTCACTGGGGCAACTCAGCAGGTAGGTCGGGGTTTTAGGAGCTGGGTATATGTGTCTATATATGGGCAGCTTCCAGCTTGGCCCTTTAGCCCAAGCTGGAAGCTGCCCATTCTCTGCAACTGGCCGAGCAACTGTAAGTTCTAATCCCAGTTTAGGCATGAAACCTGGATGGGTGACTTTGGGCCAATCACCAGGAGAATGTGAGTTCTAGTTGCGCCATAGAATAGGAATAGGGATAGAATTAGAATAAAAATGGAATGGAATAGAAAATATAGAATACAGAATAGAATGTAGAATAGAATAGAACATAGTATAGAATAGAGTAGAATAGAATAGAGAATAGAATAGAGAATAGAATAGAATATAATATAATAGAGAATAGAACAGAATAGAGAATAGAACAGAATATAATAGAGAACAGAATAAAAATAGAAAATAAAATAAATAGGGTAGGATCCCACGATGCCTCCTTTAGCCACTTCGCCACTTAATGATGAATCTTTTATCCCTTTTGTGGTCATGAACCGAGGACTTCCCATACAGATATCCGCTTGACCGTTGTGAAACAAGGTTGGGTCCACTCATGGCGTTGTCTTCTTTCCCTCCTTAGGTGGACGATATAATTGGCCGTTCCTTGGTAGTAGACGAAGGGGAGGATGACTTGGGCCGCGGGAATCACCCACTGTCAAAAATCTCTGGAAATTCTGGGGAGAGGTGAGGAATAACTCTGCCACTTGCCAGCAGTTCAATCCTGACTGACTCAGTCTTTCCATCCTTCTGAGGTCAGTAAAATGAGGACCCAGGTTTTTGGGGGGCAAGTTGCCGACTCTGTAAACAGCTTAGAGAGGGCTGGAAAGCACCGTGAGGCACTATACAATTCTAACTGCTGTTGCTATTCCAACTCTGTTATTCTGTTATTCATTCTAAACCAGCTTTCTGTCTAGATAAAAAGATTCTTTTTGCAAAGCAAAAAAACAAAAGACTTGACCTCTCTCTCCGTTTTTTATTTTTATTTTTATTTTGCAGAGTGGCCTGCGGAATCATTGCTCGCTCATCCGGCCTCTTCCAGAATCCCAAGAAAATATGTACCTGCAGCGGAGTGACCCTTTGGGAAGAGCGGGAAAGATCTGCCACCAGGCTAGGCCAGGCCGTTCCCGAACACCCTACTCCTCACCTGTAGGACATGGGTTGCTGCCATTGCTCCCCTCGCTCTGGAGTTTGCAAAGGGGGTTCAGCTATTCTCTTTAGGTGCCTCCCGCAATGACCCCAATAAGGCAGGTTCGGGTGTGGGTGTGTGTTTGTGTGTCTGGAGAGAGACACAAACATACAAATCGGCTTTTGCTGGCAGGAGGAAAAGATCATCATTGCACTTTGGATAGATTCCCCCCCCCCCCAAAAAAAAAAAACACCTCCAAACATTCCAATAATGCACATCACTTTTAGATTTTGTTTTGGTTTTCCACACACACGCACAATTTTTTTAGGCTTAAGTTTGGGGATTTGGGAGTTTTTGCTGCCTTCCTTTTGCATCTTTTTTTTTTTTTTTTTGCATCTATGCCTTCATTTTAGGATTGTGGGAACAGTGCCTTTCTCCCCCCTCCCCCCTTTCTCTGCGGGGCACAGAAGGAAGAAAATCAACAGATCTGGTCTGCAGCCATAGATGAGGCTTAACGCTGGTGAGATTGCAGTTGATGGTTTAAAAGGGGGAGCCCCTTCCTTCCCCCCCCTGCCAAAAAGGGGAACTTTCTCTGTTAGGTTGGGGCAATGGGGGACAGCATTCTTTGCCCTGCCCTGTTTATCTCAAGAAGAATATATTGAGAGGCATAGGGGTTGCTACAACACCAAAAATTGTTCGTACAGGCAGGCAGGCCTCAGCTTACAACAGTTCATTGAATGACTGAATGGCACTCAAAACAGTGGCTTATGACCATGGCAGCATTTCAACAGTCAGGTGATTAAAATTCGGATTTGCTCGTCAACTGGCTCCTATTTTATGACCGTCGCAGTGTCCCTGGAATCATAGTCAATGAGGGAAGCCAGATCCACTTAACAGCCGTGTCACTCACTTAACAAACTGCAGTGATTCCACAAAACCATAATGGCAAGAAAGGTCGTTAAAAAGGAGCAATAATTCACTTCGCAAAGGTCTCGCTTGGCAACAGAAATTTCGGACACGGTTGCGGTCGTAAGGAAAGGGGTACCCGTATCCCCGTCGGCTTGTCGTGAATCAGTCTGGCCTCACCCTTCTTGGGATGTGTGACAGTGCCTTAAGTGTCTGTAAAAATATTGTTGGTCTGGAAAGGGCTCCAAGATCACTTCCAACTTTGTTATTCTGTTAATTGTGGAAAGCGAGGAAAAGCAGGGGAGTGGGACTGATAGTCCTCATTTTACAACCATTCATTCGAAGTTACTTATGACTAAATTGTTCACGCTTAAAGATGGTTGCCGCATCCCAAGGGTCACATGATCAAAATTCAGACACTTGGCCCCTGACTCGTATTTATGACAGTTGCAGTGTCCTGGAGGTCACGTGATCCCTTTTTGCGACCTGACCAGGGGACAATCAGATTCACTTAACAACCAGATCACTAAGATCACAAACTGCAAGGAATTCACTTTACCACTGTGGCAAGAGAGGTAAAATGGGGAGAAAAACTTCACTTAACAACTGTCCTGTTTAACACTGGAAATGTGGGGCTCAAATTGTGGTCGTAAGGTGAGGATTATCGGTAGTACAAAATGGTCGTGTATTAGGGCGGGCTTGGGAGTGGATTTTTCCTGTGAGGGTTCTGTCTGGGACAGAGGTGCAATTTGAACTGCGCCTCTTGTTTTGCTGGTTCTTTTTATTTCTTTGACCATCCATTAAATTATATAATCTTCTTAAGCAGCTGCTGTGTGTGTCTCCTCTGATTTAATGCATTGCTGACACAATGTTTCCCCGAAAATAAGACCCTGTCTTATAATTTTTTTTGCCACCAAAAAAGGCACCAGATTGTTGTGGTTAGCCGGCAGCAGGTGCGGATGTCTGAGGAGAGCGAGGACTCAGATGAGGGGCCAGGACCATTAGGGCAGTGATCCCCAACCTTTTTTA